CATATTAAAATACGATATCATTTGTTTTGTTAGAATGGCAACACCTCGCCATGTTGTCATACCCATATTACAGGTTGTAATTTGTTAATGTGTCAAACACAATTTGTCAGTAGTGCGTTCATTCGATCGCAGTTGCTCTGATCGACGCCTGCGTCGGACGTGGGCACTGACTTATTTTTGAAATGCAATTCTGTGACATATATCTTAAACTTAATACGTTGAAACCCTGCCATCTGTAGTAGCCAAACCGACAGTTATCACAACGATCCGTAATTACATATACGAATTACAAGTCGTTTCTTGTAGCGGTAAAAGAGGGCTAACACGCGTAACAAGAGGGTGTTAATAGAACGCAACCGAAAAATAAGACTATGAATAAACGTTTCAGAACTGCTACTAATTTTCTTTATTATGTATTATGGAACGTACGTAATACTCTTTTAGTGGCGATAGTCCGCCGTATTTCCCATAAAAATATTATTACACGTCGCATTCTCTTTGTACGTACATGTTTTATTCATCGTATATGTAATATGCATTTATTTTGGAAGTGCAATCTTGATGCAGATGTGGGACAAGATCGTGGTTTTGTATGGAATACGAAATTCAATATAGGGTTACGTACTGCACAATTTACACTTTTCACTTTGCTATATGTTTTAGAATATTTTCTGTATGAATGTAATGAAAATGTGTTGTGATACTTCCGGTTTCGCACGCTTGCATTAGCTTTTTTCTTAGTAAAGTTAAGAGCTTTTTTGTGCATATTTTAATAAAATAGACAGCTTTTACATCTTCTTGTTGTTTTTAAAGACTTAACATGAAAATTCACTATCATATAGTTTATTTTAGACTAAAATACCTAGTCTAGAAGTTGCTGTTTGTAAATAATTACCAACAATTTAGCGTTAATGTTTTAAACTAAACCTATAGCATCTTAAATGTGTTCAGTTTATGATTCTAACACACTATTGTAAACTAATTTTTCGTCTGATTATGTACGGGGCATACTACCAGAAAGCACTATGAAAATGTTATGTTGTTAATAATATAATAATGTTATATTATGACCCTAAGGGATAGATGATGTTTGATTACCATATAATATCTGGATTGATGTATGAAAAAAACAAAAAAAAAAACATGGCGATTAAAAAGAGTGGCGGAGAGTTTATTGCCAGTTCTTCTCTTCCGTTCTACGCTCTTGATTTGAGAACTGGCACTAAATGTAAAATTAGAAGCATTAATATTATGTATTTCTTTACTGACAAGTCATAAGTGTACAATGTGTTACCTGTGTGTACATATGTTTAAATGATTTTTAGTTTTAAATTTTTTGATGGATGGCACTATCAGTGTATGCATATTTGTTTAGTAATTAAGAAGCTTATTTATTACTTCTATAGATATATAGCGTTTCATCTACATACTTAATATATAGTTGGACTAACTGCTGTAATTTTGTGAGTTATGGAAATGTGGGAAACGTAGACTATGTACGGGAAACGTATATATTATGTATGACGGGAACTAGCTGAAGCAGATGCTTTTAGTTATGTAAATAATTGCATACAGCGTTGGTTATATACCTCATCTGCATACATATTAAGTTGTAAGGATCAGTCTTGATAAATAATTTTAATCTGTATTTACATGTGCATACTATTCGTATATTAATTGTGTTAAGGGTAAATTTATTACTTATTGAAATAAGTTTTGCATTTTATCGCATATGGGATTCTTTTCGTTTCTGTATATATCTAGAAATTTTGTCAGCCCTGTAGCAAGTTAATTTGCAATACTCGATTGTGGTCGTACTTGGGCCCTTGGTCACTATAATATCGATGAATGCGGTTCCAATTACTGCAATCGGTTATGTAATTATTGAATTAATGTATCTGCATTTGTTTGTTTGGTTTCGGATTTATTTAAACGTAAGCTTATATTCAGTATTGGCCTAGTGGTTTAAACATGCAACCCTTGAAATCATGCATTCCAATCATGGCGTGTATTAATAGATTTTTTTCTATGTGCGTAAATAGCACTTGTTCCTAAAGGCAATCACAGTATCACAGACTCACTCATACATACTGGCATAAAGGCCAGCTCATGGGCAGTTTTTTAGTAGGTGCGTTGCCGGTCTTTCAGGGAGGAGTAAGCTCGCTTTTAATATAATTGGAGGTTCTATTGCACAGAGAGGAACTCCTTGGGGAGCCGATACCACAGTTCTCTAGTTCGCATAATGCCTAGTGAAGCGGACCCTGTAGGACTTCCAGTCAAGGTGGTGTGGATGAAGACCAACCCAAAAAACTCTTCAAACGCATCGTGTAGTAATGTCTCTGCGTAAAGAGAGAGAATCAATCCGATCAATAATACACTAGAGTTTGGCAATACGATAAGCCCTCCGCTGAATCTAATCAAAAGGATGAAGCTGGTATTTGAGCAATATTCCATATAAGGTCGTACTTGAGCCGTGTAGAGCATACGTTGTACCTCACTGAAATACTGCTCAGCCGTACCTAAATGCTAGCATGTCCAACGTTATGAAAGACAAGGTTAAAAGTGCGTTTTACTAGTTTATAATTATTAAATAAATTACTTAAAACTAATTATACAACATAATATGTATATAGTTTTAGTTGTGAACTTAGCTTCTGAGAGCCTAATATTTCTGTACAAAAATTAATTCATTAAATCTTATATCAAACCGTTAAATTGTTTTTAGGTAATAGTGTAAACATAAGACATAAATTACTATATTTGGGAGTTAATTATTATTCTGAATAAGCCTTTCAAAGAATGATGTCAACTCCCCGTATGTTTCGAAAACAATTTCCTTTTATGTATTAATTGTGTATTGTTGCGCAATCTAGGTACAAGCAAAAGCTTGTCAAAAATCAAAAGATTATAGCTTTTGATTTAAAAAAAAACGCCTTTAACATGAGATTAGTAATTATTTACAAAGTTCAATAGGTGATGTAGAGTTTTTATATATTAGGTCCTTACATATGAAATTGGCGTTTTGTATGGGAGGAACAAAAAGTCGAATATTTTTAAATATAATATATTTAATTAATCAAAGTATGAACCATTGTTTTCTATGCACTTTTGCCATCTCATAAGTAGTTCATTGATCCCTTTACTAAAAAAACCAGTCAGACTGGAATCAATAAAATCTGTGAAGGCGATTTGGACTGCCCCATCCGAGTTAAATTTTTCCCCTGCAAGAAGTTGTCCAAATTTCGAAAAAAAATGGTAATCTGTTGGAGCCAGGTCCGGGGAGTACGGAGGATGTCTTAGACATTCCAATTGAAGCTCTTCTAATTTGGTAGCCGTCTGTTGTGCAGTGTGTGGTCTAGCGTTGTCGTGAAGTAGCAGTGGCGTGGACCGATTGACCAGCCTAGGTTTTTTAGCCGCTAGCTTTTCCATTATGGTTTGCAATTGCTGACAATAGACATCAGCCGTAATAGTCTGGCCAGATTTGAGAAAACTGCAATGAACAATTCCGGCACTTGTCCACCAAACGCTTATAAGTAACTTTTTTTGGGGTTAATTTTCGCTTGGGGCAGTATTGAGCTGGCTGGCCAGGATCCAACCATTGCGCTGAGCGCTTTCGATTATCGTTAAGAATCAGTCGACGCGCAACGCAGCAGTCGACGCGCGTTTGCCGGTTTGCTTCAGTCAATTCGTGATGTACCCATCTTTCAAGCTTTTTAATCTTCCCAATTTGCTTTAAGTGAATTAAAACAGTTTTATCACTAAGGCTGCTGCCTTGAAATTTGCGGGCAGCGGGGCGGCGGCGGCTGCGGCGCGGGAGCGGGCGATTGCACCTCTCGTTACCCGCCCTCGCGCCGCTACCACGCCGCTGCTTTCGAGAACCGGTCCATTTGATTTTACGCATAAGATCCTGCCGCTCCCGCGCCGCCGCCGTTGCTGCCCCGCTGCCCGCAAAATTCGAGGCAGCAGCCTAACACCGCAGCCTGCAGCTAACTCGGACGTGGTTTGCGATGGATCCGCTTCCACAATAGCCTTCAATACTTCATTATCAACTTGGGTCTCAGGCCGTCCACGGGGCTTGTTCTGCAGGTCGAAATTTCCAGAACGAAAACGTTGGAACCAAAAACGAACTGTGTGTTCTTTTGCAACATGACCACCATACACATCATTCACCCTTCTAGTCGTTTCCGCAGCACTAATAATGCGATGCTTTAAGTTTTCCATTTTGTAAAATGAGTGACGCAAACAGAAAAAAACAAATGAATGACGGTCATCGAATCACAAATACATGAGTAAATAGCTGGAATTCCTTACCAAAGAGGAGAACATCGTGATTAAAGTGGCCAGTACGAAATACGCCAATTTCATATGTAAGGACCTAATATTTATATATAACTAGCTGGTGCCCGCGACTTCGTCTGCGCAGGATTAGTATTTCGAGTAGCTTATATTAGGGCAGCGTAGAAAAAAACTACTAAAGATATCGACTATTTAAGATAAACATTTCCATCATACATTACATATTATGTGTAACTCTAGCTGTTTTGGCAGCGCACGCCAGTATATCTCGCAGATAGTAGATTTTTTCGTACTTTATAAAATATAGGCTTTGTGTTATTCTGATGTTACATATTATTGTATAGTTTCGTTAAAAGCCATTCAGTAGTTTTTTACGTGAAAGTGTTACAAACATCCATCCATACTCACAAACGTTCGCGTTGATAATATTAGTTGGATATATGTTTTATTATACATATTTAAACATAATAAATTTCGGTATCTGTGTACTATATTTGTTAGTTATAAGTTATATATAAGCATTAATTTTGAAGACATCTTATTAAGGTAAAATTAAAGTCTGGTTTAGGGAACAATTATTCTATTTTCTTACAATTGCTTTTGTACATACAAATGTTTTGTTAGTGATGTAACAACGCATTTTCTAATGCCTAACCGTTGGCTACGCCGTCAAGAAAAGCATTCCGTCCTAAAGGCTTGCCTAATCACAACCAGTTTTGTCTACCGAACAGACCAGATCCAAGTGCGTTGGCTGCACTAGCAAGTCCATTTCCGATAACATTAGCTCCAGCCGAAGCGGTAGCGATTCCGTTGCCAATAACGTTAGCAGCAGCATTAGCTCCTAAAGCTGCACCTGTAGCTATCCCATTACCAATTGCGTTGGCACCTGCTGCAGCAGCATTCGCACCCACAGTAGCTCCTGTAGCTATTCCGTTACCAATGGCGTTAGCTCCTGCAGCAGCAGCATTAGCGCCTAATGCAGCACCAGTGGCTATTCCGTTCCCGATAGCATTTGCTCCTCTGTAAGCAGCATTCGCGCCTAGAGCAGCGCCTGTCGCAATTCCGTTACCGATGGCGTTAGCTCCTGCAGCTGCAGCATCAGCGCCTAATGCAGCACCAGTTGCTATTCCGTTCCCGATAGCATTTGCTCCTCTGTAAGCAGCATCTGCACCTAAAGCAGCGCCGGTAGCGATACCGTTGCCAATAGCGTTAGCTCCCGCAGCAGCAGCATCAGCCCCTAATTCAGCACCAGTGGCTATTCCGTTCCCGATAGCATTAGCTCCTTTGTAAGCAGCATCTGCACCTAAAGCAGCACCGGTGGCTATTCCGTTCCCGATAGCGTTAGCTCCTCCGTAAGCAGCATCTGCACCTAAAGCAGCACCGGTGGCTATTCCGTTCCCGATAGCATTTGCTCCTCCGTAAGCAGCATCTGCACCTAAAGCAGCGCCGGTAGCTAGTCCATTTCCAAGCGCGTTGGCTGCAGAAGCAGCATCTAGGCCATTACCGACGCCAATTTCGTCAGCTTCCCGCATTAAGGGAGAGTCATATCCTATTCCTAATCCATTTCCTAATCCTAATCCATTTCCCAATCCTAATCCATTTCCAACTACTTGGCTTCCTTGTCCGGCCGAAGTCAAACTGTTCCCAGTAGCTGATGCACCGTGATGTCCCTTGTTGAATTGGTTATGAGCTTGGGCTCCGACATTATGGAAATTTGATCCACCTACATTGTGGCTTCCCTCATCTTCACTTGTAGTGACCTGAAAGTTTAACAGTCACTTATATTAATATCGGTGTAGACGTATTTGTAACATGTTTATTATGTCACTACCTGCTTTGTAATATACATAATAAAAATTAGACAAATTTATCACTGAAATAGATATAGATATTTGTAACCAAACTTATATGAAAGAGTTTTAAATACTAGAAGTTTTACATACTGAGGTAACTTTATTATGGTGCTGGCCGACATTGTGGTATCCACCGCCGCCGACGTTGTGCGCTGATTGTCCCGCTGTACCGCCAGCACTGGATCCTTGATTTTGATTGGCAAAGTTTTGGGAGTCCAGGTAGTTACTGCCCTGTTGAGCGGCCCCTCCTAAACCACCCAAACCAACGCTACTGCTGCCTTGACCAGCATTGGTCAAGCTATTACCTTGGGCAGCCGCGCTGTTCTGGTTTTTATTGAACTGACTGTTAGCCTGGGCACCTTGATTGTGGAAGTTTGATCCTCCTATGTTATGGCTGCCATCATTTTCAACAGTAGTAACCTGTTAAAAAATATTATATAATGATATTTTTATATTATTCTAAAATTGAGCTGCAAACTATTAGTTCAATATCGTAACTGTTTAGGAAAAACACCTTTTGTATGGCAATTAAGGTTTACAATAAATTACCAAAAGAATTAAAAGATCTTCCGATAAGAGCCTTTAAAAAGCGACTTAGTGTAATACTTTTGGAAAAAATGTACTATTCAATAAATGATTATTTGCGTGAGACACTGTAGTTGATATAAATTAAATAAAGTATGATATATATTATGATACGAATAATATAAGAATTGACTTTGACTAATAATTCAGAATGTAAGTTCCTTAAGACAAATTTGCGCGCCATTGTGTGTGGCAGAATATGAGAACTTACGATTGTACCACCTTACACATTTTTGTACCATATTCTTGCAATAAATACATTATTATTATGAACATTTCAAAAAATATTTCTTAATAAATAATGTATTACCTTTGTAACTTTATTGTGATGCTGTCCAACGTTATGGTAACTGCTGCCTCCAACATTATGCGCTTCTGATCCAGCAGCACCACTAGCACCACCATTATAATTCTCTCCGGCAAAATTTCCTGATTTAACAATGCCACTGCCCTGTCTGGAAGCACCCAAGCCCCCTCTATGACCCAGAACGTTACCCAAAGCTGCATTGGCTACTGCAAACGGATTTGGTATGGGCAGCCCAAACAGGGGACTAGCTTGAAGCGTTGCAACGCTGGCGAGAACCGATAGAACCTGCAGTTATTATTTATTAACGTTTGCAAAGAAAAAATTAAGATAAATATTGGGATTATGTTTGAGCTTTCTCTACAAATAGTATCGTTATCATACACATAACACAACATCTCATCCATTACTAAAAAAAACTTTAAAAAAATGTTGAATTAAAAATAAATTTACTTACGAATAACTTCATGTTGTAGCGATTACGACGGCTGTTAGAATGCTTCCTATTGTACAATTTAGGTTTTTATATTAAAGTCAATATAATAATAGTCAATTATGGAAATATTAATTTGTAATTATTTCAAGAACAATTTAACGACCAGATCGTAATGAAGTAGTTAAGTAATCGTTGCAAGGGGCTATTGACAGGTGTTATTAAAAATATTTAGGACTAATTAAGAATTAATGATGAGTTACACAAGTTTATGGTTGAAGACATTCTGTTTATGTAATAATAATAATAAAATGTGCTACAAACTTTTCAGGTCTGGGCCTCAGATTTCTGTATCTGTTTCATGATCATTTGCCAATCTAATAGGCAAGTATATGATCCTGTGCCTGACACACGCCGTCGACTTTTTGGGTCTTAAGGCAAGCCGGATTCCTGACGATGTTATGTTCTCCTTCTTTCCGGGCTGAACCATATGAAGCTGCTTCTGAAAGAAAGAGTTTATCATATTAAGATTCTAGCTTCCGCTAGTCTCTGCCCACGATTGTTCCTTTGCCAATAACCAAATTGTCTCATCCTTATCTCTGTTCTCTTTATGTCCTAATCTTGCGTTGAAATCACCAATCACAACATTAAAATGCCTTTTAGGTGTCTGAAATGCTCAGCTTATATCGTCATTCAGTAAGTGAACTTCATCATCAGAGTGTTTCGAGGTGTACCTGTATACGTATATTTGTTTGATACTTTTAGAACAAGGTTAAAAGCCTAAGTGGCCTACATTGGTAGAAACCGTTTGGTAGGTTTTGAGTTTATTGCGTTATATACAAATAGAGGTCGTCTCGTATAAATAAATCCAAAAGCTTTTCTTTGAATGGTGACTCGAGTGTCGTCGTATTCGTTATCTTTATCTATGATTTTGTAAGCGTCGAAACGAGCATTGTGTACGGAACAATGAGGCAGATAAGGAGTTATCAAGTTCGGATTTGGGTGAGAGTCCTTAGATTGAATAGGAAAATTCATGATAAAGGTAGATTTATTGCTGGCATATGTTTATAAAGAATTTTGTATATAGATCTTCTCTTTACATAGACGTAAATTGCAGTAGAGAAATTGTAGGTCACCATGTATTTATATTAATTTCAGCGTAAATTAATTCATTCTATCACTTTAAAATGTCAATGTTTAAATTAGATTATTGTAAAGGTATCCCGGTGTTCCAGATGTCCATGGGCGGCTGTTAGGACCTTTCGTTTGTCCCTAAAATTACAAATTATGTATTATAACATACAATATAAAAGCTACATATCCCAGGTTCCCAGAAGGCTGTTCGTCTATACGGTAACACGAATGTCTCATATTACATATTGAATTAATTGAAAATGCATTAATCATGTTTCTTTATAATTAAAACGCTGTCGAATTTTGGGCCTAATATGACGTCACTGTAAATTCTGCACGCTTTTCTTCACTGAATTCTGCACGTAAAAAGAAAATTCTATTGGTGCTTGTCAAACATTGGTACACGGTTGCGAATCATATTGTATTCGAGCTATTAATAATTCTATTGTATATAGATACTGTTGCGCAGTGCGTTGTGCGCACTCGGCGTGAGATGGTGGTGTAACGGGTCAGGGGCACATCCTCTAAAGGCAGGCGAGAATTTAGTCCCAGCTGAACGTTTTTCGCTCTCAGCAAGTTTTTTGACCTAAAACTTCCGTGGCACTGGTGGCAATATGATACCAGTTCTTGATCGAAAGCCGCATTTGATCCTGCTGGGTGACAAACGTAGGCAGGCTTTTTCGAATCTTCATACCTTGGACTTGTCAGATTTATGCTCTGCTCAATTTTGAGGGTCAGGGTTATAATGTATATAATAATAATAAGAACCGTTATAATTCTTATCCCATAATTGTTGTACTATAATTAAATTACATCAGATAAAAGTCATTCCATTATTGTGGGAGAGGGAGTTGGCGTTTTGAAGTGTCCTTGACGGATTGTTGGGTGAATTCGTAAGTTACTTACTTGTTTTCTTGAGGAAAACAAAGCTACTTGACGGTTTGTCGTTGAATTTAAGATCCGAATAAAAAAAGTTATACCTACGAGTATTATGTAAGCCGATTTACTGCAATTTATCCCCCCTCCGTTTGTAACATAATAGTACATAAACGTATTAATTTTTTGTAAGAATCCTCGAAAATGTATTTTGTTCCTAGACAATGTGTGGGTAATATGTGTATAAAAGTAAATAATTATCTACTGTTCATCACCAAATAAGAAAATCAAAGACCTCCCTCCCCCCTAGTGCTTTCGTAATACTTGAACGGCCCCATAATTGATAAGACTATGTCGGGTTTGTTCTAACGGCTGGTCCGATTTTCATGGTTTTTGATTTGTTGCATTTGTCCTGAATAGCAGAATAACTAAAGCTTTGGAAAATCGAAAAAAACCATCCAATTCAAAATGAATATGGGTTTTCGTAACTGTCATGTAAGTCGGTACGAAGTTCGCCGAGTTAGGCAGGTCATAAAACACACGACATATATATTTTCATAAATCAATTCTTTGAAAGTGAAATATTACGATGCGCGCGCACCGTGACACAAAATTAACAGAATGAAGTTGCCCACTAACGAATTCTTTTTAAACCAGCAGGGCGCCGAGCGTGCGCGAGCGAGATGGGAATAAGACAATCTACAAGTAAAAAGAAATAGAATATGCGTGAAGTTAGCAGCTATGCCAAGAATTTTGAATGACCATAATGACCTTTAAACAAATAAGGGGTTTTAATTATTTTTTCAAAGAAATTTAGCAATGCCTTTTCACAAAGACCTATTGTCACTTAGTTAAAAGGTTATGAAACATACCTAGTTATTAAATTGAATGAGTAATATAATAAAATAATAATAATTATTATTCATAATATTAATTAATAATTGAATAATATACTAAATATTAAATATTATTAAATTATTAACGTTAAATATATTTTATTAATTATTTAATTTAAAAAAAAAATAAAGAAAGCCAAAGAAGTAAAACTTCTTACACGCGTACATAAGTACACGCACCCTTTTTTATTTTATGTATCTGATTTCTTCCATCACAGCGCCAAAACAATTTGTCAGATAGAGACGAATACATACCTGTTTGAATGTGTAAGAGGGCTGAATTATGTATGCAAGAACGTGATATCAAACACAATGACTACATTAAATAATTTAAAAAAAAAAGGTTTTTATAATTTATTATTTATGTACAGAATATTTTCTATACCCCTAAAATAATTTTCCCTCGCAATAGGCGTCTAGCCAGTCTATTTTCGGCGCGAATCACTTCAGGTAGCACACAGGCTTGGGTTTCGAGACCCTGAAATAAAATGCAAAAGGCCGTTTTATATGTGTCATAGTTATATATTAATTATGTTTATTATAATGTGTAGCGCTATTGAGAATTCTGCCATACTTTTTGATCTCAAAAATTCTATCACAAAATCGACTATAATAAAGGAATATATTGAATAATACACCTTTTTTCATTTATTTAATTTACGATATAATTCAATCTAAATCATGGAATATTACATTTGAAAACCACTGTGGTTTGTATTAATGTAACAATAGCTGTGTTGTTAGAAGCTCGACAAATAATATAATAATTCTTCAAAATGTTTTTTTATGTTGCTTAAGTTTCGGCTATATAATAACTGACCGGGAAGTCCATTTATGAGTCGCTGTAGTCAATAGGAGACGTTGTTTGCTCTCGAAGAACAGAGCCAAACTTACAGCTCGGGTCGGTACTTCATATAAACTAAACTATTTAACTAAGATAAAAATATAACTATCAACAATCACTTATTTCGGAAATTATGGGTGAATTCGCGAGTTATTTACAATTGGAAATAATTTTATTTGATTAATTTGGCTTTAATTTTAAAGATAGAATTTTGTTTTCTAAACCTTTGTTCACGGTTTATGTATCAAAGAATCGGCGGTAAATGAAGGTTCGTAAAGTTATTTGTATTTTTGCAATGTACACAATAAATATTAATAACAATAGTGTATAGCTCAAAAATAATACGACTTATTAGAACCTCGTAAACCGGTATGTATACACGATTAAATTTCAGTGAAATAATGGCTTCTGAGAAGAAAGACAGCTTTCCGAGGTCGAAGTGTCGCGGAATTCTGAAGAGCTTTGAAGTACTGCTCACAATTTAACGTAAAAATGATAAGTACTTTTTTAAAATTAACAATATTTTGCATCGTGATTTTGGATTAATTACGTGTGTAATTCAATAGTTTACATTACCATAATTAGAAGAAGAGCTGCAATTATGACAAACAATAGTGCAATCTGAAAATAATATTAAAATTAATTTTCTATGTGACAATACTGTATTTTAAAAGACAGAATAATTTTATTTTCACTTCTACAACTTATATTGCATGTAAGAAACATTTATACTAAAAAAATATGCTCTTTATATACAAAAAGATTAAACAAAAACATATATTGACATTTTAGTACTTTTCATGGCCCCAGAACACAAAATTAACAAATATTGAATTGATAAACAAAATAAATTAGTTAAAAACTATTTTTAACCTCATATTATGTTTTACAAATATGTACTTACATAATTCGACATATTGACAACGTTTGATAAACGAAAGACACCTCGCGTAGTTGTAAGGTTTATATATTATATGTGTTGATAAGGGCGGATATATACAGATATATCATATTTCGTTTTAGCTTTAGTAGTAAAATTAGTATTTTGTATTAAATTTTGTCAAGTGATTTGTGATGGTTATAAAATAAAAATATAGTCATCATTAGATCTTGAATTATATCGAAATTACAATCACATGTTAGGATTAATTTTAAAACATATATAGGAGGTAGACAATCAAGAGTTAAGTGCACACCTACCAGGTTTACTATTGCGTTGCCGGCCTTTAAGGTACGATGTTCTTTAGGAAAAAAGTTAGCAAGAAGTCTCTAAAACGACGACGCCCTGTCTTGGAACCCCGAATGTCAACGGGGGAATGGAGTTTGACTGATCAGTTCTAAGTAATCACAGTATAATGCAAGTTCTTTGTACGTTATATATTATTGAAGTCTGTCCTAAACAAATAATGTTTTAGCAAATAAAATAGAACAAGGAAAATGTTTTAATAACAATGTTTCATTGTCTTTGATATATCAAAGTCAGAAATTCGTAGATATCTTAAAATTTGTAAAAATGTAGCTAAGTCGATACATTGGGGAATAAATTTGTAGGTATTACTTCTAAAAATTACTTATGGAATTGATAACTTCTTAGATTTTTTTCGAAGTCGGTTAAAAATTACAGCTAGACTTAGTTTACGACAGGATTTTAAATGATTTGACAAATTTATACTTTATGTGTAGTCGGGTTGAAGTGTCGTGTTTCCAATATATTAGATTTTTTTTACACGCTTTATATTAGCTTCGCCTGTATGTATGTATGTAACCGACTCTTTCGGACTCGATTTTGACCCACTTTAAACGGACAGATTTTATTCAAATTTTGCGCACCTGTCAAAGATCGATGACAATGCAATAATCCGAAAAAAAATTTAACTAAAAAATAAATAATAGTTAAAAAAACTAAAAAACACGCTTGTTTTTATAGTATGTTTAAAATTTCATTAATTTTATTAAGGCGTTATGTATTTGCCTTTATGAAGCAATTTCAATAAATATTATAAGTAATATAAAGCAGTCGTGATATCACGATGCAATTAACTTTATTTAAAGTAATAGGTAATTGGTAATACTGTGACGTCTGCACTTAAGACGCATGATGACTAACACATATACGAAAATATGAGGTTTTCCAAGGTTGTAACGCCTCTGGTTTTATTTATTGATTTATTTAATAAAACAGAAAGATAATAGCCTTTATTCGAGTACTACTTTATCCTACATAATCAGGATTACATTAAGTCCATGCCATTATTTAACATTAGTACACTACCTCCAACGAGTGAAGGCTTCATCTAACTGTCTCTCATCCTCGCCACCATTTTATAATCCTTCTCCGCTATTCCTTTAAAAAGAAAAAGCCTCCAGTGACTGATACACGCCGTCGACTTTTTGGGTCTAATGCAAGCCGGTTTCCTCGCGTTTTTTCCTTCACCGTGCGAGCGAATTTCACATGCGCATATAGAAAGAAAGTCTATTACTGCACAGCTGTGGATCGAACCAACGACCTCCAGGATGAGAATCGCACGCTGAAGCCCTAGGCCAACACTAATCTAAAATAAATCGATCTAAGATTAATCTTAGATTTAAATCTCGATTAATCGAGATCTCATGCAGATCTATTGACTTTATTTAAGTAGACGCAGACGCATGGGCACCTCTCTCGTGCTCGTGCCCGTAATGCCTGGCACCGTTGTGGTGTTTCTTAAAGGATCCGCTGGATGCCGCCCCATTGTTGAACTCTTCAGAACCGCCTATGTTGTGACTCTCAGAGCTCTCCGATTTTGTTATCTGTTAATTAATAATAAATATCTTAGTATAATGAGTAACCTCTAGAGCAGTGTTACCCAACGTGGCCCCACCCACAGGCGGGGCTATTCGAAAATCTATTTAAATTATTTGAAATTTCAAATTCAGTTTATTATCAAAATTTACTGACTGTGTTTCGTTAACAATTTCCTTGTGATTTCTTCTTAAAACGTATCATTTTGGGGGGGTCATAGGAATTTTAGAAAAGCTAAGGATGGGAAACACTGCTTTCAAGGCAAGGGTTTTGTCTAATAATTTAATCAATTTGTTGTCTTTTTAGAGGTTAAACTAGGGAAATATTAGGATAACTTACTGTAGTCTTTTTACTATGATGCTCTCCAATGTTATGGAACTCCCGTTTGCCAGAGTTGAAAAATCCCTTGTTAGCAGCACCGCTTTCCCCATTCTCGAATCGCTGACTACCCTCGTTTTTTATCCTTCCCACTTCATCCATGTTTACTCGCGATGGGAAACCTGGAAAGCGACCTAGTATACCGCCTATGACTCTGTCTATGACACTCGATGATGCCACAGTTATGCAGGCTAGCAAACAAATAATCTGAAAAAATTAACTAAAATTAAACAAATATGTAGTACCGTTTTCGCCACATAAATCAGATAAATAATGTTTTGACACTTGTGTATACATGAGAGTAATAAGAACAAAACATTAAATAGCTCTTTCACAGTAGTAGGTTCAAATAAGTGACATTACTGCAAACCTGACAATGAGTGGATAAATATGCCTATATTTTATTACTGCCCAGCAGTGTTAGCCAGTCGTAAGTTCGAATCCTAGTTAAACCTTCAAGAAAAGAGCGTACCAATTCTTAAAAGGCCGGCAACGCACTTGAGAGCCTTCCGGCAATGTGAGTGTTCATGGGCAGCGGTATCACTTAACATCAGATGAGCCTCCTACCCGTTTACCGCGCCGGGACTCCTTACTTAAGTAGCGGTACTGATTCCTGAATCATTATTATTTTATTATTATGTATCCTAACACACTGGCAGCTTTTAATAAGCTGATGCGCGTGTATTTTGTGATTTGGAGAAACTATCAAATCTATTTTTAAAGGTGTTTAAAGATGGTGACTACACTTTACGGAAGCCTATCCATCCGAAGCCCATCATGAATGATAAATGTTTTAAAAACTTACCAAAAGTTTCATTTTAAACTTTATGTTGATTTTGATAAATATCTAACTCCGAAATGTTGATTATGCTGTATTATTTGAGCTTTTATATCACGTTGAATTTGTTAATTAGGTAACATTAAGCGTTTTGGGGAAATTAATTAAATTTTCGAAGGACTGTGGATGCTATGCAAATTAATTTATGATCGTTAATTAATAATCGAAGTTTTGTACAATTATACAGTACGCAATAAAAATATATTTTAGCCGAGTTTTACATAGTAAAATTATGATGTAATGCAGAATGCTTTGAAGTACCTAGTGGGTGCTTTTGTTAGTTCTAGTGACTTAGTTAATTTGTTATTGTAAAACTAAGTTAGTTTACGGGTGATTCTCTTATAAGAGGTAACTATGATGGCAATCTATTTAAAAGTGTTTTTTTAATCTATATGTTGCTATTTTGTGCAATAAATCACATCACTTAAATGTCCTTTATTAAATAACATTACAATTAAATGTCTAATTAAAGCACATTTTTGTAAAACTCGTTATATAGTCTAAAAAAGTCTCTACCCTGGCCTGTCCCCTTACCGGTTTCAGCTTAACTAGCATACAATACATACAATATTTGTATTATTTGCTAAAACAAACTATGTTTACCACAAATTTAAGTAAATATACTTTAATATTATTAAAGAAAAATTGAAAAATATTTGCTTATTTTCAAGAATTTTTAAACTGAATTGTTGTCCCGCTTTTTTTGTGTATCTACCCTGGAAATATTCGCACCGCTGCTACAATATAAAATATAAGATGGCCACATTCCCGAACTCGCTAATTGACATTTAACAACGTGAAGTTAGCGATACTAAGCACAGAAGCGGTTAGATCGACGCCATTTGCCAGTTTTTGTGACGCGTCCGTGCGATGTAACGGTTTCGCAAGGTCATTGTGTCTCTCCACTGGTAAGTAATAAAAGTTATAATAATCATTTTATTTATTTGCGATTCCTGTCCTAATTTAGTAATACTGTAATAGTCAAAGCTTGCTTAATTTTTAATTGAAAACTTTCTTGTATAAACCAAAATAATGTATTATGTTATGAAAACGTCTTTCATAACATAATACAATATTATTATCATAATATATATGTATAATGGAAAAACTCCAACTTTTCTTCTTGGCCGTCTCCTCCATAGACGAAAAACCTTTTATATAAAAACTACCCTTACAATAAAACTGATGAAAAATTACTCGGTCGACATGTTCAGCTTTCTCAACTCCTTGCTATTTGGTATTATTATTATTTTCTTTAAATTCACATTTTGAAAGATAACTTGCCGTGCAATTAAGCGTAGATACATCATCTGAAAGACGTATTCGTTTCGGAAACATGATTTAATGGAGCCTATTGTTTCATTTACATACATTCAGTACTCACGTTATTGATATTTATATACTTTTAATGTCATGACAAGTCTCAAAATGTAACTTAAATTTGTAACTAAAGGTGCGCTTACACGAGGGCAATAATTGCTCGGCGACACGAATGGACCGATCTGGAGCAATTAATGGAGCAATTTCAATAAATTCAATAAATTTCAATAAATTATTTCGGCGATATTGTTTCTAATTGCTCCAGATATTTCTTATCGCTCAATGTCGCAGATACGAATTGACGAATATCCAATGGACTTGGAAATTCCTAGCAATTTTTGTAAATATCTCATTCGCGCTTTTTTTTTGCGGCTTGCCGTCTTGCTTCCGCGGGGAGAGCGAGAGGTCTAAATAATAATAATTTCTAATTACTTTATTCAAAAGTAATTCAAAGTCTGTTCGTGACATTCTAGTAAAGTTTTTGAATAATATATCATCTAATTCTTTACACGATAAAAATTGCGGCCAAAAACGATCGCACCCAGCTACGCCTATTCCTTTTCTTTCTTTTTTGTTTTTGATTAATAATAAAAAAGCGCTACAAGCCGCCGCAGCAAGAACAATGTCGTACATAGCGAGCGAATACTGAAATGCTCGTGTAGGACAGTATTGCCTAGTTGATGAAGTTGCGCCATATCGCTCAATATTGTATTGCGCAGTATTGATGCTTGTTGCCGTTGCCGTAAATTACTTGATGTAGTCGTGACGTCATAGTTGACGAGTATTGACTGGAATTGAGCAATTTTAGTTGCCCGTGTAAGCGCACCTTTAAAGTTTAAAAAATCTTTCAAATTTGTAATTCGAATGTCAATTTCCGTCAAGTCATTTCAATAATAAAACACTATTTTGACCGGATTGAAGTTATGTATTATTATAAATTTACAACTATTTAACATAATTTTAAATTTATCCGACGTTTCGCGTGCTTTACAGCGTGCGTGGTCACGGTGTTAAAATTATGTTAAATAGTTGTAAATTTATAATAATACATAACTTCAATCCGGTCAAAATAGTGTTTTATTAAAGTCATTTCAAATCAAAATATATATATTGTCAATGTACAAACAATAAATACTTTTGAAGTTATACTTCTTTAGGCGCATTATGAAAAATTTATGAGAGTGAAATTTTACGATGCGCGTGCACCTGAGACACAAATTATCAGTGTGATATAGCGTGCGCGAGCGAGATGGGAATAAGACAATCTACAAGTAAAAAGAAATAGAATATGCGTGAAGTTAGCAGCTATGCCAAGAATTTTGAATGACCATATTGACATTTACCTTTTAAACAAATAAAGGAGTTTTAATTATTTTTTTATATAGAATAAATATTTTAAAAAGGAAGGAAAATTATTCACTTTAATACCAGACATAGGTCAATATGACAATAAAAAAGAAAAAGAATTCCAGTGGCCTCTAGGTCTGGGCCTGAGATTTCTATATCTGTTTCATGATAATTTGTTCATCTAATAGGCAAGTAGGTGATCAGCCTCCTGTGCCTGACACACGCCGTCGAAGTTTACTCACGATGTTTGAATCTTAAATGCGCACATAGTAAGTCCATTAGTGAAGGATGCATGGAACCTACGACCTCAGGGATGCGAGATTCACACTAAAGCCTTATTTAGCTAGCCTTCTTAATAAATTTATCTTTCCCTATTCGGTGTATTGACATAAGTGTTTTGTTATGGGTACAGAACGCAAGTAACATAAACAAGGGTAATAAGAGAAACATTTAATTTGACGTTTATAAATGAAGTCTACCACACTCCAGTGTGTGATTGTCCTCTGTCGTAATCATTGCCAGCCTCACTGGCTCCTTTATTGTAGTTGTTGTAGTTTCTACCAGACCCACCTCCTGTGTTGAATGATTCAGAGCTGCCTATGTCATGGCTGCCGGAGTGTTCAGACTTTTCTATCTGTAAATTAAAGATTAATTAAATACAAATGTAAAAATCTTGCTTATTAGATTAAAGTCTGGAATTAATACAGTTAACCTCATAACACGATTTCAGTCCCTGGTATAACACGCTTACTCCTCCCGTATAACTTGGTGATTGCACACTTTTTTTTTTTAAATAATAAGTATTCTACTCCCCTGCCATAGTGACCAGGGACTTTTCTATCTGGTCTAAGATCCCGATATACAACGACCTTCACCGAGATGCTTATTTAATGAAACGTATTTTATATTTAATTTAATATGTCAATAAATATAATCCATATGGGTTGCCTAGCAAATTTCAGTCCAGAGTATTTTAATTAATATAAAAAAAAAAAAAAAAAATTTAATCATTTCACCGGTATGATTATTAGATAAATTCTATAAATCGAACGTATGAAGCCCATAGAATATGCAAACGTTAGGTTGTTTTTAATCAAGTAATTATTTATGTGTATATTTTTTATGACACTAAAGTATATATACATCTTTAGTAAAAAAGAAAGTTATAGTGATACATATATAATACTACCCTGATTAACGATATTGATTGAAAAAAATTTAAAAAATTTACTACATGCAAATTATAAAAAAATACTTTTTTTAAAATATTAATTAAACATACTCTGGACTGAAATTTGCTAGGCAACCCATATGGATTATATTTATTGACATATTAAATTAAATATAAAATACGTTTCATTAAATAAGCATCTCGGTGAAGGTCGTTGTATATCGGGATCTTATACTAATCTCTAAACTGCACATCACACGTCTCGCGAAATACGCCTCGGCTACATCGGTAATATTTTTGTGGGTGCTCCAGGTCGTGCCTGGACGTTTCGATTGCACACGTTATATACCTGTACTGTGACATTTATGTACACGTAATAGTGTACTTATTTTGCTCATTACATAGTATTTTTCTTATTATTCGATTTTAATCGCCTTTAACGAGAAAATATCACGTGAATTTGTACATAACGCGTTTTATGAACAAGCACGTTACGCGAGAATACTCCTACTACGCGTTTCCTTTTACGCGTAAACAATCTACCGTGTTATAGGAGGGATTACTGTATATTGTCTAGTGTGAATGCAGACTTTAAACTTTAAAGCATAGAGAAGTTAAATTCATTTAAAAACGGCGCAAATTGAATGAGTATTCCTTCCCATCACAATGTTTATTTAATGACAACAAATTACCAATTCCTACTATCTTCTCTTCGCTTGGTACTTTAAGTTAACTAGTCCAAGCATCATGGACGTTGAAAGACAACGGAAACTTTTTTTTTTACACTTTTGGACGAAACTAGATTTTTTATATTGCCTGTGTGGTTCAGTTGTTAAAATGAATAAAAGTTCAGGCTTAAAATGCTTCGATTCCCGTCAATAACTGATTGTAGACACAAGGATTCATTATCTCCATCAGAAATAATCAACGAGACAGTCGCTAACCAGTCGCCAGATATTAAAGAATCTCTTAAGCTTCGTTCCAATAATGGTATAAATAAATAGCATAATACAATACACAATATACGTATTGTTAAACAATAAAAGATTGGTTGTGTAGAAATGGGGTATGGACAGCGAGTTTCTTTAATCTTTTTGGGAAGTATTTTGTTATAAATTTCAAAGCGAAATTTTATTTCCTGAGCCAAAAACCGTTAAGAGTGAATTATTCTTTTGTCCCTTTGAAGCTGTCCAAGCTGTAGCTTCGAAGATTTTCCAAAAATCCCTCCTTATTATTTGCTAATAAAAAAAATCTGTGTTGCTTAGATAAATAGTTTTGTCCAATATCGACACTAGTTTAAGCTGTAAAATATCTTACCTTAGTAACTTTACTGTGATGGTTGCCCTTATTATGATGCTCGCGTGTACCCGAGTTGTGAAAATGTTGGCCTTCTGCCCCGCTGGCTCCATTATCATAATTGTTATTTTTAAAATTCCGACCCCTCATGTAACTTTTGTCCACGTTAGAACCACCCCGGTATGGAGGGTAACCCGGATACCCAGGTCTTGGGTAGGGATATGGATATCTACCTCTCCCTACTCCATAGCCTGGATTTCTATAAATCCTGTAGGAGCTTATTTCAATCACAGCTGCGCAGAGGATAACCGCTAAAGCCTATTAGAAGATATTGTATTAAAAGTAGAACGTTTAAAGAGGAGGCCTAATTAGGCCTTTTAACAGGTTTTCTAGAATTACCAGTATTGTGTAAATAAAGCAGTGTTGTGCGTCTGAAAGTGCATTAAAACGCACAGTTCACACCATTTAGGTCTGGGCCTTAGATTTCTGTATCTGTTTCGTGATAATTTTGTTTTTTGTAAGAGACAAGTAGGTGATTATAACATGACTACTCGAATTATTGGGTTTAAGACTTTCCTCACTACGATTTCCTTAATGGAACAAGAGAGTACTAAATGCACACATAGACATATGGATTATATGTCTATGTGTGCATTTAATGATGCACAACCGAGAATTGAACCTACGACGTCAATGATCAGAGTTGTACGCTGAAGCTAGGCCCACTCACTCTCTACTGCTTAGTTACAACATACTTATTCTTACTGATTGTAAAATATATTATTAAAACAGGTCGACGTTTTGAGTGCAACAATATATTCCCATTCATATCAATTTTAGTACTCGTGTAAAAAATCTATAATACATGCTTTTAGAAAAGAAAAGAAATATGTTTAAAATTACTTACCAGCTTCATTTTGACAAACAAATGAACGGTTGCCCCTGAAGTGATCCAGATTGATCGTTAATTAATTTTATATAGATGTCTCGTATCATATAGTAATTACATGATTAATTGATTTTTAAGATGAATGTTATATTTTATTAATGACAGTTGGTAATTTGCTTTACAGATATCCTTTTAACAGATTTTTTTAAATTTGATGCGCATGTGTGATGTTGGTTGTGTCCATAATTTTATCGGAAAGAAACTGTCATTTCTAGTTTCTTATTGAACCAATTTATTTTTTATGTAACAGAGGGCAAACGGGCAGGAGGCTCGATGTTAAGCAATATCGCCGTTCATAGACACACATTGCCAGAGGGCTCGCAATTGCGTTGCCTGCCATTGGTACGCTCTGTTCTTGAAGGACCCTAAGTGAAATTGGTTCGAAAATTCATCAGTTGACAGCAGCTTTTATATAGATTACTAGGTTCTATTGAGGGCACCATTAGATTTTCATCAATATCGGTTTAGTAGTATTCAGAAATCCACGCATTTCCAAGACGTGTGGAGAATAATGTTGATTGGTTGAAGTTGGTTTAATTTTTTAATATTACTTCTAAAATTAGCTTCAATAATTATATCGATGCCGGTGCTAGCTAATACGGCAGGCAGGTGTGACTGACTGTAAACGATAAACATACTTCTTTTTTGCATGAGAAAACTGCTATTATAAATTGCGTGCGTAAAACTTAGAAATAAATCTAAGTTTTCTTAAAAAGTAATTGAGAAAACTTAGGTTTATTGAGATATGAGTCTTGGTTCCAAAGCAGACTTGTGCTTAAAAAGATATGTAAATGAATTCTAACAAGATTATTTTGTTTCAGGTAAATTCCTCTTTGCAGCTAGTATTTTTAATATGTAAAAACATTGTTTGTATGTGAGTAACTTTGTTCTATAAGTTTTATATCTAATTGTACATTTTTGAGTTGTTAAGGGGTCAAATGAAAACACTAATTACGCTGGAAAAGGAATTAAAAGGACTAGTTAATATATATTACAATAAACTTTCCGACACAAATGTTCGGGTTGATTTACACTATGTCGCGGTAACGCGGTATGTGCGTTAGGTATGCATCAAATGTCTAATAACAAGAGCCACAGCCGAAGGTTAGGAAAAGACAATTTATTTTTAAATTTTAAGTGTAATAAAATAATACAATCCTATAAATGTATTCATTGAGGTTCCGGGTGAAATGCTGACACGGCGCATTGTGCAGCACGTGAAGTTCCAATAAGTCCAAATGTTGGCTGCAAATTCCCATACCGGCCAAACATATTTTGTGTCAGCGAACACAAAAATTGTTGTTTAGGTTGGATCAACTCACTCGTTGTTACAAGATAATGATTAAAATAAAACGTTCCATATCTTCATAATTTAATTACATTATAAATAACCTCGACAGCATTAGATAACACATAGTTTTATATAGCATCTTCAAGTCCCATCCCAGCTCCCAAAGCTCCCAACGCCATACCACCAAGAAGGCCATTAACGCCGCCGTTCAAAGCATATCCCAAACCATTTTGAGCCGCCAATAGTCCAGCATTCATAGCACCAGCTCCGTTTAAATCCATAGCAATGCTTGATTGTATGATATTATTTAATTCAGAGCCGAATCCAGCTCCGATTTCTTCTAAAGGACCCAAACCTTCATCAAAAGCATCCAGACCTAGGTTAGCTTCCAACGGACCCATGAAAGGTAGAGCTTCTGACGCTACGACGAAAGCAACAAAAAGTACCTGAAAATAAATTTGTCTAAGTATGGTTATCATGGTTTTGACACATTTAAATAAAACTTCTTTAATAAAACTAAAGGCTGGATAAGATTGACAAATGGTTATGAAACAGTTCTATAATAGTTATTTCTTAACTAAATGGGTAAGCAAGATGTGATAATAATATTAAGATACTTACAAAGACTTTCATCTTGGCTACCCAACGACGTTCTTAATTAACCTGTTATCTGTTATGTCCTTTTATTTGATTAAAAATCAATCATAATTGAAATGTAGTTCAATAATTAGTTTTAATTAACAACGAGGAAAACCCAAATTACCTAATCTTAATATAGGTATTATTAGTTATTTATTACTTTTCATACAATTAATTAAAAGTTACAATACAAACAGCTCAAATGTCAAATACACGTAAACGTGTAAACAGTTAATAATTGCAGGTCGGCAAGCTTCCACATAGATTACTTTAGGTTCTACTTTTTTATTTATTTTATTGAGAGAAATACATTTCCGCACCGAGTGTGGGACTCGCTCTAAAAGCCCTACCCACCAATTATGTCACTGTTGGGGTAACTTGGGGTCGCGTAAGCATTCTACCAAGAGACACCGTGACCGGCTGCTACAGCAACCATCTTCCATTACATTAACATCACCTTACAAGTCTTTACAGTACGGTTGCAATTTTTTGCACCCAACACGTGATTCGCCGGCATGTTGTCGCTCGCAAAAACAAAGCAATTTGGGCTTCGTCACGTCTGACAGATTTGTGCCCCGCTTTTCCGCACCTAAAGCACATATTGCTACGGTCCACAGTGGATGAGCAAGACGCCCTAAACATTTATAACAGCACGGGGGGGCTTTTAAAAGAACTACCTCCACCAAACTACATCCAATTATACACTCTCCTTCCACAAATATTTTTGCTGTTGCAACTGGGCATTGTACTGTATCCCCTTTCAATGTCTTTACACCTCATTAGCTCTGCTGCGCGGTTTGCCTTATTCGACAGGGCAGCATTTACATCCTCGGCAGTAACTACGTCGTCGAGGCCTTTAACCCACAGACACACCATTTTCAGGCCTACTAACTCTCGCCATTATAGTCAGCGCAACTTTTAATGTACTGGCGAGTAAATCTGCTTTTCTTTATATGCCTCGCCTTCTATCTCAATAAGACCACCTGCTGCTGCCCGCCTGATGTGACTTATGCCTAAATCAGGTAAAACTACACTCTTCCTCGCTTTAATAATAACCTCAGCATATGTAACACTATTTTCCTCAGCTTTTTTTTTTTTTTTAAAGACAGTTCACACCAATTGACCTAGTCCCATGCTAAACTGGTGAAGCTTGTGTTATGGGTACTAGGCAACGGATATACATACATATAGATAGATAAACATATAAATACATATTTAAACACCCAAGACCTAAGCACAACACCAAATGCTCATCACATCGATGGTCGTCTCAGCCGGGGATCGAACCCGGGACCCATGGATTCGCAATCAGGGGTACTAACCACTAGACCAATGAGTCGTCGCTTCCTTTTCCAATGTCACCAGTACTGCTGCTGACCGCGGCACAGTGAGCAATGCCCCTCCTTTGGGTGGAACCGCCTCATGTTGCAATATATTTTTACCTCTTTCCCTCGAAACAACAGTAAACCAACAACTTGGGCGTGCAGTTCCCTCCGGTGGGGTCGGTAGATTCAACGTCAAAATCGATTGGTCAATTGTTTCGTGTGGTCGTGCTTCGACTTTAACTTTTCAGGTAAAATCCTATTTTCTATACCCGCCAAGTTTTGCTTCAAAAATTCTTCAGTTGAACGCATAATTTTGTTTTCGCTTTTCAGATCTTTCCCAACTCATTTGTTGATACCAGATAATAAATGAAATAAAACGTTACATATATTTATTATTTAATTGCATTTTATATAATCTTAAAAGCACTAGACAGCAGGTAACATAATGTTTTGTATATCTTCAAGTCCCATCCCAGCTCCTAAACTTTCCAAAGCTACCCCAAACCATTTTATGCCGTCAATAGTCCAGGATTCATAGAACCAACTCCGTTTAAACCCATGGCAATACTTGAATCTATGATATCAGGATTGCCTGCAGAACCGTATTCACCACTGCTATCTTCTAAAGGGCCCAAATCTGCCCCAAAACCTCCCAAGTCAAGATCAGCTTCCATCGGACCCATTAAAGGTAGAGCTTCTGACGCTACGATGACAACAACAAAAATTACCTGAAAATAAAAAGTTACTTTTATATTGTCTATGGTCTTCATGGTTATATGGTTCGGTTCGGCTTTTGAGAAATTGTGGACTTTGAGAAATTCAAATTCAAAATCATTAATTCATATAGGTAACACAATGTACACTGATGAACGTCATAAAAGAAATATATATTAAATGCTTCCAATTTTACATTTACTGCCAGTCCTTAAATCAAGGGCGTAGAACGGAAGAGAAGAACTGGCAATAATCTCTCCGCCGCTCTTTTTAGTCGCCAAGTTTTTTGTTTTACACAATGTTTGTATGGAGCTGCAACCATTACACCATTTTCCACATGACATCATAAGTAATTAATAATAATAAAATAAATTAAAAACAAAGATTTGACCTCTATCAGCAGGAATCATGGAGAAATAGGATCACACTTCACTCTCGTGGGAACAACACGCAACGAAAGTTAGTAGAATGAGAGATTTAAGACCGGGCCTCTAAAAGGCCGGCAACGCACCGAATTCAAAATGGGATAGTAATATCAAGATACTTACAAAGACTTTCATCTTGGCTACACAACGACGTTCTTAATTAACCTGTTATCTGTTTTGTCCTTTTATTTGATTAAAAATCAATCACAATTGGAATGTAATTAAATAATTGGTTTTAAATAACTGTACGTGGTAAAACCCAAATTGATATTAATATAGTTATAATTAGTTATTCCTACATTTAATTAAAAGTTACAATACAAACAGCTCAAATACACGTAAAACGTATAAACAGTTAATAATTGCAGGCCGGCAACGCCCTCGCAAGCCCTCTGGCGTTGCCCATGGGCGGTATCACTTAACATCTAGCGAGCCTCCTGCCCGTTTGCCCTATGTTCTATAAAAAAAATGATTTATATGATATATTATTATGAGGTTACCTGAGTTTTAATAGTAACAATAAAACGTTTGTTTTCGGTCATATCTACAACACAACCGCTGTAAAGAAATCAAAATGGCTTTTTAAGTAAAAAAATAATTATTTTGCATAGAAAACCATTGCAGTATATGACAGAAACTGTATACATAAATTATTTCAATTAGCTATTATTAAATTAACGCAATTGTTCATCCAATTCCAAAAAGTTTTTAATTTGTCGTTGAAACGCTTATGTTAGTTATTATGTATCAATTTACCTTTAACGATTCAGAGAATACCTATTCCTCCACCTGACATCAAAGGCACCATTGGTCCCAAATTACGTAATTATTCCCGTAAAACGTTATCCCTTTATTTAAATTCGGGTGAAGCTATACTCCACATATTTTGCTCGCAAGGACAAAAGCTCTCAACCATAGAAGTGTTTCTATTTACGTGATTTGCAAACACTTACACGCTGAAAATCAATTTACACCTTAATGCGTTGAAATAAAGTCGTATTTACGAAAAAGGCCCGGGAAGTGGGCCACTGTTTTTCCGTAAGCAATTTGGTGCTTTTCATTTAGTGATATTTTACAGGAGAGCCTCCGACGGTGTAATTACCACTCGAGTCTCGAAAACTCGAATGCGAAAACAAGGCTGAGAATACAGCGAAAATAAAAGTGTTTGTTATATGAAAACGCTGTATATTTCGAAAAAGCCGTCTTCAGTTCTGCAAAAGACTAAAAGCCTTTTTTTATATATAGCACTAAAACCCTTAGATTTCTGTATCTGTTCCACGATCATTTCTAATGGGCAAGTAAGGTATTCCACCTTTTGTGCCTGACGCACACTATCGACTTTTTTGGGTCTTTCCTCGTTTTTCCTCAACGATGTTTTTGATGATGAGAGACTGTTAAATGCGCACATAGGTGACTCTAATCGAACGTACGAACCCCGTAATGATAGTCGCATGTTGAAACCAAAAAGGCAACAATGCAACATAAAATAAGGATTGCTTCTACATTATGTAGGTACGAAATTATTGTAAATATATGTGTATGAACAAAAACCTTAACATTTTTAAACCTAATGTATCTTTATGCGGAGTCTTGAGCACTGCCGTTTTAAGGAAATTTATTGTAGACATAAATCAACATAATTCGAAACATATCATTTTAAATAAATCAAAATTAAAAGAACCATATTAGAAATACAACCGATGTCTATGCTCTCTCAAGTTAAAATGCAAAAGGCTCAAAATAAAAACAGTAAATACATGCAGAGTTTATTTATTCAGAAATTGAAGAGGGATTTATTTAAAGAAATAATCCACTTCCGCCTCCGCCCATGCCGTAGCCGTTGCCGTAACCGTTGGCACCGTTCAAGTAATTGTTGTAGCCGTTGCCAAGGTAACCACCATGGTTCAGCGCGCTTCCGCCACCAATATTGTGGTAGCCAGAGTTGTCGGCACGGTTGAGCTGTAAGGGCGGATTTCATTTAATAAAAATGATATAAGCTGTCGCGGAATATGGTTAAAATTAGGGTCAATAATATCCATAGCGCAAAATCACCTGCATCATGAGCATACAACACAGGCAAATTAGGTGCCCTTTTGTAATTTTTAAACCTTTTTGTAGTGAAATATTATGTATTCCATATCTGGCTATATTTTTTGTGTAATTGTTTATATATAATTTTTCTTAGCGATAGGATTACGAAATAAATATATATTATGTAATATCTGCTAATGAACTAGAAGTTATGATGAAGATTTTTTTTACATAGAAGCATATCTTTATAGATTCAGTGAAAAAAAATTAGTTTTGGAGACAAAATACAATACATATTTAGCTTTAAAGAAAACTACTCGTACAGCGCTTATAGACTATCCAAGTACATGGGCACCAAGCATATTATTATATCTTCGACAGGTTTTTGGATCAGTTTAGCATAATTGATACTCACAGAGGTCACGCTGTTATGATGAGCGCCAAGGTTGTGGTAGCCACCCAGTCTGGATCCGCCATAGCCAGCGTTGTTTAGGCCACTTGCGCCGCCGTTGTACAGGCCCCCACCATATCCACCCCCATTAAGGTAACCGCCGCGACCAATTCCACCAAGTCCAAGACCCAGGCCAATGCCTGGATAGTATGGTTGGGCCTGGAGCGATGCAACGCAAACCGTAATGAGAAGGATCTGTAATGCAAATTTTATGATGAAAACTGTCTAAAGGTTGAGTGAGAGTAGCAGTTAGTGTGCGCGAGAGTTGATCAATACGGCCTTTAAAATGAAAAGAAATGTTAATTGCGCTAGCATTTTTTTAAAATTTGAATCTTCAATTTCTAACATAAAGATTGAAAAATGTTTTTGGTAAGGTTATTGAACAACAACCTATCACGGAATTACATATCACATACAATTAAATTAAATGTCAAACCATAAATACTAGGTAATTTCAAGATGTCGTTATGCCATCGCGTTTTTTCACATGCCCAACGCCGTCTATTGCTTAAACAACAAATTAGATGATGAAATTATACAGTTATTAAAAGGCCAGAATATAAATTTAGGGGAAGGTGGGGACCCTTCGTACGGTTTTCACATTTTATTTTTTAATTTTTTTATTTTTCCATGAATCAATCACCTGATAGCTTAAATTTATAGTCTAACTATCTGAGATTCAAATAAAAAAATGACAAATGATTTCATCCGATGTTTCAACCATAATTATGATTTAAACTAAATCTGGAAAACGTACGAATCTGCCCCATCAACGGGGCACCTTCGTACAGTGTTTGGGGTATCTTCTTACGCTGTGGGGTAGTTCAAAATTCATTTATTAGCAATGAAATTAAACACAAAAATAAAGATTTAATTTCTATTAAACAAAAATAAAATACTTTTCTTATGTAAAACAAAATTTAATTAGTTAGGTATCTTAAATTTAGAATTACATTTTTTACTCTTTGATGTGGATTACAACTTCTTATTTTCGGGTGTGGCAGTATAAATTCGTGGTTTTCCTGGCCGTCATCGTCATTTTGCTTGTTTTATTACTTCTTACAGAATGCGAATAGGGTCGAAATGCCTCTGGTGTCAAAACTGACTTCGAAGGAACTACTATTTGATGGATTGGTAAATTATTCACAGCATCTGGTTCACAAGCATCAAAATCAACCTTAGTCAAGATGCCTTAACAGTAGTGTAATATGTAGAAAGTCGAAAACTTAATTTGAATGAAAAAGACAGTTCGCGTCGACAAATTATTATACAAATTTAGTTGTACAATTCGTACAAATGTGCCCCATCTAGTGCTGTCCGAATGTACCCCACTAACTGAATAACAACAAAATATAACTTATTTTAATATTAATAGGAAAACGTCATAAATTAAGTATTGGAGACGTATCTTAAGTATATTTTGCTAGTTACTGATAGAATACTCTACACGAAAACTTATTTTATCTACGGTAACAAGAGATAAAAACATAGATCAAAAAATTACTTACCGAGCGCGAAAACACGTCTATGCCTGTAACTTCACTCTCATCGGTGCGAATTTCACGAAACTTCGTTGATGTATAGTTGGTACCTCGACTCATGCACACATACAAAAGCAAGACTGTACTTTATTTCGTTCAAGTTTTATTTTGACTGTATGAATGTGCCCCGCGTACGAAGGGTAACGATCTTCCCCTATAACTTACAATGCACTTCATGTTTTCGTTGGTGAACCTTCAATACTGAATAATAGTCGAGGGAAGTCCAATATTTTATATTAATTTAACAGCTATTTTATCTGACTATTAATTAAAAAAACGATTGGAGCCCCAATTCGAAATTTCCATTTCATTAGTGTAGTAAAATGATTAAGATGCTAATTTTAGCCCCCATCTCCACATGCGGCCATGTGTGAACATTTCATGACAAATCGTGGTTCGTGCAAAATTCCCAACACCAATTAAGCCGCAGTCAGCTCCAACATTGTTAAATTTTAATGAAGTCTATTAAAAGTTTAACGTTGAAGCATGCACGGCTGGGAGCCTCCATTCCGGAAATGTATGGATTTTCTCGTTACACATATGTATTTTCGTATCAATATAGTAAAAGATTGGATTTACAGTTAATGATTTAGTTTCCATATATATATATATATATATATATATATATATATATTTTCCGAATAGTGCTAAAATTTCTCCCTTCGTAACGCTTTTTGTCAGATGTTATTTGAAAAATAGACGAAAATCATCTCTAGATAAATTGCACTTTCTTGTTTACAAGACTTGTAATCGTGCTTTGTTTCACCATTCTCACATCAACATCAACTATGCAAAACACTCAGTTTTGTATAGCGCAGCCCGGACATACAACGACTACTATTTAAGCCACTATTTAAGTTTTCGGGGAATATGCTTAAAAGGAGTATTAAGAATATCCATAGCACTTATTAACATAAATCATGAGCACACCCCAAATATACACCTTCTCGTAACATACCCTCACTTTTACACCATCACACAAGTTCGTTGAATGTATTTAATAATTTTTATAGATTTTTTCCTTTCGTAAATGTTTGAACCTTTTTGTAAATATTATGTTTTCCATCTGTAGCATACGAAATAAATAAATAAATCAGCGCGACAGCTAAGGTCCTTATATAAGCTTACTCTTGTCGCGAAGTTTGTATACTATTAATTGATTTTTCTTTAAAAACCTTACGATACATAAGTGGATAGTGCGTATATTAATAGATATTGTAGGTAAACATTGTAGTACTTTTATAATTGGACCTCTTGAATACATAACTTCATGTTTAGACATCCCTTTAGTATAAGAACTTTGTAAAACATTTGCCCCGTATCTTTGTTACTTAGCTGAGAAGTTTCCCCCGACTTTAATGTTTATTTGTATTTCTCTTTTACTTTTGAACAAACTGAAATTATAGTGGCACCTGTTAATGTAAGTAATGTGGTAACAATGTAATAAAATTACGTGAACATTATTTAATATTTATTCAACAAATAAAGCTGGTTTGTTATATATAATAAAATATCGATATTTCGTTAATACATTTTGAAGGTATGAATCGCGTGTTAATTGGTTATTATGAATATATTCGTTGACAAATTATGAAATATCATTAACGATCACGCTCATCATACATTAAACAAGCGTGAAAACTGTATCTATTTTGATAAATTTTTACTTGTTTAAGCTAATATGTAAAATTCTCGTGTCACAATGTTCGTTCCCATACTTCTCGGAAACGGCTCGACCGATTCTTATGAACTTTTTTTATGTATATTCAGTAAATCTGAGAATCGGACATCTTATTTTCATCCCCCTAAATGTTAAGAGTGGTCCCTAAATTTTTATTATTAAAACAAAACTTTTTGTTTTTATTTTTTTATGATACAAAAATATATACAACCCTAAATTTTCACCCCTCTACGATCAACCCCTATTTTTAATATAGTATATAGTTATTTTTATTGAACTAAAAAAAATTTTCCTAGAAATAATATGTACATAGCAAAACGACGTTTGCCGGGTCAGCTAGTATTTTATAAATAAATGACCAGGAACGTAAACGTAGTATGTAATTATAGATTGAAAAGTTAGATACTAGAACAGATGTGTCCTATGGACGATTCATAGAGAACAAAAATCATACAATAGGAAATAGAAAAGGGGTTTTGTACTATCAATATTCGCAAAGTTGGTGAAACTTCGCATATGTAAAACAGAATCATGTCGGGTCTTTGAGCAACAGCTGACGGTGTAATACGGGTTGAAATTGGGTTGTTCTGCGAACTTTGATGACCTATTTTGATGTATCAATTTGAATATTCAACCTTTTTTACAGCTGTTTTGTACAACAGGTATAATAGTTTACTGATTTATTTATATAATTTACAAAAAAGATCTGATCGACGCTACTGAAGGAAGGTAGGATGTTAGGATAACAAGAAGAATGTAATATAACAAAACTAAGCTGTATATTCTACATTTGTAATGATTGGAATTTAATCGGGCTTTTATTATTTATTTATGTTATTATTTTCTTGTCCAATATAACTAATTAGTTACCGCAACACAATAACCTACTCATCACCTGAACAATTCCTACTTAAAAATCTATATTCACTCTTGTCAACTGATTATATGAGTCTTTCAGAGGCATTTTTATAGAGAGGATTCGAACTATGAGCCGATTTCACCCCCACCACTATTGTCCCGATATCACCACTGATTTTATGGCCGTGTGTTGACACATGACGCATTTAAACATATTTCACGTTGCAGGCGTTTTCGGAATGGTTGTACAATACTTGAGTAGTCCAATCCAAGAGAAGTCCAGAGGAGCTATTGCAATAATGCCATCTCAGGATGTTCGTCTTGACCAGCTGGATCACTTGCCTGTCTGGTCATCCAGGCAGCGTTGCAAAGTGCCTGAGTGCAATGGTAGATCCCATGTGCTATGCAGGAAATGTCAAGTCAACTTATGCTTGAATGAGAAGAGGAATTGTTTCCTGCTGTTTTATACTATAATTTTTTTTTTTTTGCAATTTCTGCTCATTGTGCCACATTTAAACCAAAGTGGAAAAATCTGATTTACGTATTTTTTAATAAATTGTAATTATTTGTTAAAATACGTGTCTTTTTATTTATTTTTTTACGTAACATATATTTTTTTGGCTTGAAAACAAAAAATCATGCAGTAACGCCTTTAGTACACCTACGCGTTCGTATGCGGCTGCGAGTCTTTGCGAAATAATTGCGGTAGCGAAATATCTGCGGAACTTTAGTACACTGCAGTTTTTTCGCAAGGAAATGTCATTGTAGCTTTATTTCTTACCATCTATCCCCGTCTTTTCTTGAATTTTCCTCCATGCCACCTCTTTTAACATGCCCAACTAAATATAATTCGGGATAATTTCGAATCAAATTTAATAATAATTCAATATTTTCGGCTTCCATTGTGCGAAATTCTGTCCTCACTGACAGAACGCGTGGTGACGCATTGCGATGCGAAACTCCGCTAGCGAAACGGCTGCGTCTGTGTAACAGCCATTTCGCAGTTACTTGCGAAACAATACCGACAAGGACGCAACTATTTCATCTAGCTATATAATAGAGCGAGACAAAACACATGCGAAACGTTGCCATACAACTTACAGTTTTTTCGTCGTTTCGCTGCCGCATGCGATCGCGTAGGTGTACTAAAGGCGTAAAGGGTTAAAAAAAATATTTCTCGAGCGATTTAATAAAAGCCGCAGTCTATTTTTCTAATAACAGATAGCTAGAACAACGTTTGTTCACTAAATTCCACGTAATTATTATTTTCTATTGTATAGCAGTTCTGCAAGAGGCAAGCGGGATTACTGGGATAATTAAGTGATTACAAATTATGAAATGAGATTACGAGAGTGGTGAATACACCTGTTGTTGTTGTTTTTAATTATTGCCTTCGTACGCATTATAAGAAAAGGTTCTTATTGGATTATTATTTTTTTGTGTGCAGTTAATTGCTTGTTCGGTAAAGGAATATATGAGGATTAATCTAATATTTTATTTTCTTATTCTTTGTTACGAGTCTTGGTTCATATTTGTCAGGGATTATGTAATAAGAGAATACGATGTTAATTTTTTATTAGAATGTCTACACCACGCAATATCACAGACAGGTTACAGGTTGTAAATTGTCAACGTGTCTAAGTCAATCTACCAGTAGTGCGTGGAATCAATCGTCCGTTAAATCCAAATAGTATTAACTATCTGGCCAATATTATTCGCTTCGAATCTAAGACATATAAATGAAACAAATTTTAATACAGTTTTTACAATTTTCTTAACCTACATAATAATAATAATTAAAAATTAATAAATAGAAAATTGAACCAAATTTCTTTAAATTTGGTTCAATTTTTATTTATCAATCGGTCCCTGTGCCAGTGTACTTTTAACGCTGGAAGCATTTCCTCGCAGTATTACCATACTTATTTGTTGAGGAAAGCACCAGCTGTGGGGGTCACCGTTAATATCTACCGGCCAACTTAAACCTTTAATTAGCGCCTGTGCACTTGAACCCTACCGCCCAAGAGCCTCTACTCCAAAGGGAACAAAATTGGAGGAAGTTGGAAGTTGGAGGAAAGACATATTTGAGCTGTTTATTAATCTTCATTAATTTGTTTATATATTACATAGAAATAAACCATGAAAATTTTCCAATAAAAATAAAATTATCTATAAACCGTTACCCTAATCAAATTATATGTGCGACACTATATTAACAGTCTCATAAACGCGTAATGTGCAGGTTTAACACCTTTATTACGTTAAGTCAACTTAGAGTATTTTCGCACCTATTTATCAGCGTAATAACGCTAAGCAAAAATTGTTTGATCAAAGGAGCGATACGCTGCGCATGGGCGTCCTCACGATGTTTTCTTTTACCGTTCGAGCGAATATTAAATGGGCACATAGAAATAAAGTCCATTGGTGCAAAGCTGGCGATCGAATCTACGAACTCAGGGATGAGAGTCGCACGCTGAAGCCACTAGGTCAACACTGTTCTAACTGGCGACATTTATAATCTGAGCTTTTCTTAGCAACTGCGGCCAGAAGGCCAGTCAGTGGTTAGACTAAATGAGGATCCATACCTTCGGTTGGAGGAACAAAATACCATCCTGCCTCAAGAAGCTGTACGTATGTA